CATTATCCTCCTATTGACTGGAGACAGGATAGACCTTCGAATCTCTCTCTCTTAAGTATTTTGTCTACAATTTGCAATTTGAAAAGAAAGATCCTTGATGTAGTCTGGCTATAATTTGTAATCTTAATGTGGGTTATTGTACTCTGTGTCATAAAGCAAGTTCTAGATAATAAATATTGCAGACACTTTTAAAAAAAATTTTTTTTCTTGTTGTGTACCATCAAATCAGATCTGACTGGCACAGGAGAAAAATGCCCCTCCTTCTCCAGCAGAGCATCTGGTGGATTTGAACCTCATGCCTTCAGGACTGCAGTGCAGCTTCTTTGCTAATAGGTCACCAGAGCTCCCTGGAGACACCATTTGAAGCCAGTTCAAAGTGTCTTGACTTTTATTATGAATTACTACCTTTTGTTAGGACTAGGATTTTGACGGAAATCCAATAATAACACATACCGGAATCAACTGACGTCATTGCTACCAGATCAGAACTCACTCATAGCTGACTTTCCAGGGGGTTCTCAGGAGGTTGTGAGTTACACAGGAAGAGATTGCCAAGTCCCTCCAAGATGGAATTTGAGTCACCAGAGAGGCTCCACCTTGGGATTAGCAGCACAACTCCCTTCAGGTTACACCATCCCTCCAGATAATCATATTTGAATAGGTAAGATTAATCAGGAAAAGAAGTAGTGCAGGCAAAGAAAGAAGGTTAGGAAGGGTGGAAATGGTGTGTAACTCTGTGGTCTCTGTGCTATCAGAACAACCTGTTAAAACTTTAATACACCCACCATCTACTTCAGACTAATCTGCAAAATGGGGATCATAATAATAGCTATTGTTATCATCTCATGGAGTTTTCTTCACCAACAAATGAGATGATAAGCATGCCATTGCTTGTAAAAAGTAAATACAATTACTATTAAGTGCTAATGGACTTTAGATACAGAATGGACTTTGTTCAAGAAATCAACAACCAAAAGAATCTTGCCGATGAGAAAAAAGAGGATCAATGAAAGGAGGAGGAACTGCCAAAGAATTCACAATCCTTCATGATTTTACATTCGACTTGGAATGCTATATTAAATAAGTTAGACCTAGTGTCCTCATCAGGAGAAACTCATTGCCCTTGAGCAGGAACCTTATTCACAGCCTACCTTCCGTTGGGTTTCTGAGACAGTAAATCACATGGGTGGAGAGTGCCCATCTTTCTCCAGTGAAGAGAGGTGTGATGACATAAGTGTCTTTTCAATCAGTGTCTTCTACATTAATGTGTTTTATAACAGATATAAAACATAATATCATTTTAACTGATATAGATAGTATGAGGTATTTCCATCCCGTTAAGAAGTGTTTAATATTTTCTTGTTTTATCTTCACAGACGCTGAATTTCTGAACTTAGCTGTAAGCATGAACCCCATTACTACTCAACCAGGCTACGGGGCAGGCGGTGCCACCGTTAGTGATTGGCAAACTAGCATATTCGACTGCTGTGACAATCTAGGGGTTTGTAAGTGCACAGCGTTATTTGCTTTCTACTTGACTATAATCATGCAAATTACTGACATCATAAGCATTCTTTTTACTTCTGTTGATTTCCATGCTTTGTTCAGTGCTAACTGAGAAGTCACAAGCCCAAAGCCAGGGAGCCAATTTAGCTCACGGATGTAGTATGTGGGATCACTACAACATATGCCTCTTGATGTCCTTCTTGTTCTGATTTTAAAATAGTAGGAGACCAGTAAAAATCAGATTTGGCATATAAGTGTAGGCTTCTAGCCTCTCCTAAAAACTTGAAAATTCTGGAAAGATTCTTACATGGCAGAAATCAACAGCTACAGTGAGTAAGAACCCATAAGCCCATTGAAAAGAAATTCACTGTTTACCCTTCCACCACCCACATTCACTAGTGAAGGAGCTGCCATGGCTTGGTTTGTAAAATGTTGCACTGTTAATGGGAAGACCCAGTGTCTCTGGTAATTCAAATTCATGAGCGGATCCTTGAGAGAAAAATGAGGTGGTCTTCTCCTCCTTTAAAGATTTACATCTTCTGAACTCAATAGAGAGGAGCTACGAGTCAGAATCGACTCCATGACTTCAGTGCTTCAGTCATTTATCTCACATGTCTGGCCTGCATGTTTGTGATCCTTTTCTATATCAAAATCTCCTATCCTCAAGTGGATTCTGATTCACAGCATCACTGCACTTGATTTCCAAGGCTGTGAATCTTTAAAGAGGGAGACTTCTCATCTTTCTCCTGAAGAGCTGGTGGATTTGAACTCCCAATCTTTCAATCTTTCTCTTAGCTGCGCAGTATATTATCACTTCTCCACCAGGGCTCCTTTCCCCCCCTCTATCAGTCATCACTTAACAAATTGTACTGCTTACCATTTTAATACGATCATGTTCTTGACACAGTTCTCCAATTTGTCGTCTATCACTTTCATTTTCACAGTGATGATTTCTGTTTTCCTGCTTTCAATGCTATTCTTGTAGTAGTGCCATTTCGGGGAATATTACATTTGTAAAGCTTTCTACTAAAATGCCAAACACACTTTTACAGAACGAACTTTATTCATATCAGTTTATTGCTATTTAAGGTAAAGTCACCCTGCTGCCATGTTAAAAACACAACCCTTCTCTTTTTTGTGTAGGAAGTTCCAAGTTTATTGGAGATACCTTCTGCTTAAGACTATTTATACAAAACATGGACTGTGTCTTATCTGGGACACAGTCATAGCAAAATTCCATCTTAGCATTCTTTAAAACAGATATGTACCAGGCATAATTGAGAACAGTTTCCTGTTTATTAGTACTTTTACAAGGCTCTTTTTCTGTCTTGTACAGATTCTTTAAAGTAAAAAATTGCAGTAAACTTTTTAAGTTTCTAATCACTTAACTTCCACGTATTTCATGACTTCTCCTTGCTTTCTTCCTCATAGGTTTGCTACTCTTTTTCCAAATGACCATCTAGAATCTATTCCCTATCACCTCTTTCACTTTTGGTCCCGGTGATTTTTCCCTCAATGTTTTCTGACCAAAGCACCCCCTCCCAGTCTACAGAAGGCTTCTCAGACATCCTGACTCCACCAACTTCCTATGCAAACGAGACCCACATATAAACAAGCAATAGGAAGAAATGCAGTTTGAACATGTTCATAAGTAGCAAGCCAAGAGACTTTGTAATTAAATCTGACCCAGGATAACAACTTGCACATGTCCCCCTACTCCTGGACTCTAGGTTCTAGAAACAAGGCATTAAGAGAGAGAGGACATCATTTCCTCAGAGTGTCCATTAAGACTCCTTCCTGAGCATCTTTTTGAAAGTTGTCTGTATTCAGTCAAAGGAGTAATTTGGTGGTGGCGTAGTTAAAAAACATTTGGCAGACAACTAAAATGTTAGTAGTTCAATCCTACCAGCCACTCAGCAGGACAAAGATGTGACAGTCACTTCCATAAAGACTGCAGCCTTGGAAACCCGAAGGTATCATTCTCTTCTGTCCTGCAATCACTGGTGGTGTTTACCATTAAGTCAGAACCTCTATCCTACAGAGGCACTTGCATTGTTGTTGTTTATAGTCCCATTGTTGTTGTTTATAGTCCACTTGGAACCAACTTGTAGTTGACCTTCCTGTAGGTTTTCAGAGGTAGTAAATCACACACAAGAGTGCCTGTCTTTCTCCCACAATGCAGCTTGTGGTTTTGAACCACATGCCTTTAGGTTAACAGTGCAACTCTCCACCAGAGCTCCCTATAGAATCACAAAGAGTTGCAACAGACACAGCAACAATGGGTTTGGTGTTTTGCTTCAGATCATTTAATCAAGACCATAATGACTTTAATCACGCTCTGCGGTTTTACCCTGCACCCAGGTCTCTGTGGATTTTTCTGTCCCTTGTGCCTCTCGTGTCAGATTGCCTCTGACATGGATGAATGCTGCCTGTGTGGAGCAAGTGTCGCCATGAGGACCCTCTATCGGACCCGATACGGCATCCCGGTGAGTCTCTGAGTAGCCACTGCATGCTGTTAGCAGACACCAGGCTTCTCTTCAGTCTGACCAGAACTCAGTGACTGGTATCCTCACCTTCATACTGTTAACTACTTCAGTCTAGTTTTTCCTCTACTTAATAATAAAAATTAAATATCTATCTCTATGTATGTATGTATGTATGTATGTATCTATCTATCTATCTATCTGCATACACATAGATAGATATATTTTACCTAACAGATGGATCTCTGAAAAACATTGGCAGCGATGAGGGGCAGATGTCCACTTATAAATGATAAGCTGGTGGGAGCTCTGGCAGTGTAGTCCACAAGGAGTTGCACTGCTAACCCAAAGAATGCTCTTTCGGTGGTTCAAATCTCCCTGCCACCCCACAGGAGAAAGATGGGCAATCTCTTCTGGTACTATTGATAGCCTCTGAAAACCTACTGGAGGGTCAGTTATGCATCGGTTCCCACCTGACAGCAATGAGTAGAGTTTTAAGACATAAGCCAGTGTTCATTCAAAAAGAACTATTGTTAAGTCATAAGTTTAAGTCATAAGCAAGTGCTCATTCATTTAACTATGATTTACAGAGTA